TTCAGCAGGTCCTGGGAGCCCAGGCGCCCGCGGTGCTCCCGGACGTGGTCTAGGAGGCAGCCATAGGGCATAAGCTGTGTCACCAGCTGCACCGTGGATGTCAGGCAGATGCCCAGAAGGCGGGACACGTATGGGGACCCTACACCAGCCATCACATATGCTTCCTGGGAGCAAGGGTACACACTGAGAGGGTATGGGAGACCACTAGCCCCCAAACCACCACACACCCCTCCCGAGGGCGGAGCCGTGACTGGGGACCCCCACTCAATCCAACCCCATTCGTCACAAACCAGAACCATGGCCCACGGACGCAGGAGGTTAAGAGGAGTGATCTGGGGGATCACAAAGTGTCTCCTAAAACCCCAGTGAAGACACAGCCCACAGCCCAGACCTGCAGCCAGGGGGTCCCCACTGTACTCCCAGCTGGAGGGTGGAAGGGCTTACGTCCAAGATTTCTTTGTTGGCTTTGGGGGATGTGTTTTCCCTCAACACTTTGATGGCCACTGGGATTTTCACATTTTCCCCATCGGGGATCCAGATGCCCTGGGCAGAGAGAGGAGGATGTGAGCAGGAAGAGGGTGGGCCAGATCCAACCTGCAGTCGTCCAAGGGGTCACTACTTGTACTCCCAGTCCTTCCCCACCCTTGGGCCAACCCCATTATTTAGCAACAACCTCGCCATTTCAGCCCACTCCCTATCCCCTTATATGTAACTGCCCTACCCAACAGAACCGCCCCCAGCCCCTGGCGGTCTTCCAGACAGGACCCTCATCCACGCCCTGACCGCATCCTCTGGGACCGCCCACCCAGGACTTTGGCCCCACCCCTGACCTTGTAGACGGTGCCAAAAGCTCCGGATCCAAGCACCTTCACCTTCCTCAGCTCTGTCTCTTTCAGGATCCGCATCTGAGCCTGATTTGGCATCGCTCCGCTCGGTGTCAGGGGCTCCACCAGCTGGGGTGAAGGGGTGGCGCGTCAGTGCCGCGGGCTGGGCTGCAGACCCCAGGCCACCCGAGAGGCCCTCAGACCGCCTCACCTCTGTCTCCTGCAGCAGCCTCCGCATCGTATACTTCCGGATCTTCTGCCGCCGTCGCTTGATGAGGATGCCGAAGACCAGCCCCACGACAACGAGCAGCAGAATGCCCACCACAGCGGCAATGATGGACGTCACAGGGCTGGGGGCAGGAGCCAGGGTCAGGGATTGGGGACCAGTCTGGGGCAGGAGGGATGAAGGGGTCCCACGGAGGGGCATGAAGGTCACTGGCGTTTGGAAAGGGAAGTTGGAAGGGTGACGTGCAGGCTCCTGTCCTGTTTCACCTACTCAGAAACCTCCCTCGGCTCCTTACTGCCTCCAGAATGAAGTCCAGACTCCTTGCTGGGCATTCAAAACCCTCTCCACCCACATCTCCAAATTGTCTATGCTCTTGCCCAGGGCTCTAGCCCAGGATTCTCAAACTTCCTGACAAAAATCACCAGGGAGCTTGTCAATATGCAAGAGTCTGGAGCCCTACCCTCCAGAGATTCTGACTGTGGTATGAGGTGGGGAATGTGCACCCAGTGATTCTAATATTCTAGCCAAATTTTCCACCCATAGGTCATGATTTCCACACCTCCCAGCCTTTGTTAATTCTACCTGGACCATCATTTCTGCATGAGGTCATCTTTCAAGACTCAGCTCATCCTGGGATAGAAGGATCTCCTGGGTGCTGACCCTACATCATTGTCATCCTTGCCCCCTTCCCTTGCTTAGCCAAGGGCTGGCACATCACAGACCTCTAATGAACGCTTGTGTCATGGACAAGTGCTTACCTAGGACATACTCCAATCTGTTTTTCTCCCCACAGCCCTTCCCCAAACACCCCACTGCCTAGAAATCAAGTCCAGTGATGGCAGTGATGGACATCACAGGGCTTGTGGCCTCATGGTGAGGGAAAGCCTATGCCCTCCAAGATCCTGCCCTAACCTGATTCAGACTTCACCCCTTACTCCCTCCTCTGAGCTTACTCAGTGGCCCACCACAGCAGAACCTTCAGCAAACACGTCCTAGATTGTCCTGACCCCTCTCACCGTGCTGCCTGGTTGCTTTCCTCCTAATGCAAGTGACATACCTGCCCCTCTTTCAAGACCTGGATCCCATGCCACCTCCTCCTTGAAGCCTCCCACTGCCCCCAGGTAAGGATTCATTGTCCCATCCTCAGTGCTGCAGTTGCGCTCTCTTCTCAACGTGCCTTGAGTCCCAGGGAGTTGCAGGCTGCCTGTGTCCCTTAGGAGACCCCTACCTACTCGAGGGTGGGGAGGTGCTGGGTGTCTTCGCTATCTTTTCCTGTTCCCTGCCCCCCAAGCATCCCGAGCAGGTCCTCCGTCCACTGGTTGAAGCTAATTGAAAGGAGGATCCTTAGTGAAAGAGCGGGCTGGGGAGGGACATGTGTCATGTCAGGAGACCCCCTCCCTACAGCAGTGACCACTCAGGGGCCGGAGGGGGACTGAGGGGCAACATGGGATGCGTCCTGGGGACCAGGCTGACCTGGCTCTCTGCTCGGCGGGGCAGCCCTTGTCATCCAGGTCCACACAGCTGCAGAAGAGAGAGAGTCCTGTCAACAAGGCTGGGAACCACCTCTTGCACTCACTCAGCCTCACAATATCCCCAGAGGTGGGTGTAGCTGGGTTATGATGCCTATTTGACAAAGGCAGAAACTGGGCTCAAGGTCACCAGGGCTCTTTCTACCACCCCACAGGGGAGGCCTTCTCCAGTCTGCAAACCTGCATCCCCTGCACCTCCCTGTCTTGGGTAGGAAGTGGGGGGCACCCAGAGGAGCATCAAGTCCAAAAGCTTGGCTATCCCCTCTGTAGAGGGTGCCAGGGTAGTAGTTGGGCACAACCTCCACCGAGGACAGTCTGACAATACTGTGAACCAGCAGTTCCACCTCTCAGGATAGACCCTAAAAGTGCCAACACCTGTACACTAGGGGGCATGTAAAAAATGCTCACTTGTACATGGAGCTCAAGTGCAATAAACTGCACCCCCCCCCCAAAAAAAAAAGGAGACAAGTGCAATGAATATCCCTCAAACAGGGACATGGTTAAATAATACTACATTCATACAGCAGATTGAGTAGTTTAAAAAAAAAAAGGAGGTAGGTTCATGTGCACTCACAAGAAAGAATCTCCACATAAAGTGCCGGGACGCAGGGGAAGCAAAGTGCAGAGTACTATCCTATTTACATTAAAAAATGCGCACACACAAAACCCAAACTGATCATATGTGAGTCAGATGAAAGTGCTGAGAAATAGCTGAGCTAGACGAAATTGCTGTTTCTTGATCATTTTTGACTTCCCAAAACAGCAATCTCCAACCTAACATAAATGTAAAATGCATTCTCCCCAAGGAGGGGAGGGTGGGGCGCTGGGTGGGTGGGGGAGTGGACGAAAGGGCACTCCTACTTTACGGTGTTTATACTTTGATACTGCTGAAAATGTGTATCACAAGAATGTATGCATGCATTCCATGTGTAATTAAAAACAACTAAGTGAAAAACATAAAAAGAACAAGGCAGATCACCGTGTTAGGACATGGAAAAACATTGCAAGCAAAATTGCAATGCTGAGTGAGAAAAAGCAATTTCCAAACAATATGTATGGTCTATGATCCCATTTTGGTAAAAAGGAGTATATACTAGAATGTGCACAGATGAAAACTGGAGAATAATAATAATAATATATAAACATATACTTTATATGTTATAATAATAGTACATATGTTAGTGTGTGCATAGATTAAAAAACCTGGAGGAAAAATATTGCAAGTTATTAACAGTGGGATAGAATTGCTAATGCTATTCACTTTCATGCTTTAATTAAAAAAATTTTAACAACGTGTTACTTTTGTGATCAGAAAAAAAAGATATGAAAAATTAAGGGTCTCGGGGTAAGCAAAGGCAGAGTTGTCCCACTTTTAGAATAAGAGCCCCAGAGAGGGTCCTGGAACGAAGCCTTTCTTTCCGTGGAAAAGGCCCTCAGACTCACGAGTGGGTGCAGTTGATGGGGCACGGCTGGCACATGCCCTCCTCATCTGCAAACTTCCAGATGGGCATGAAGGAGAGGTCAGGCTTCACACCACTGGGGCAGCGAGCCACGCAGAAGGGAGGATCCTTGTAGTGGGTGCAAGCCACACACTGGTCAGCCTCCTGGGAGGGGAGGAAGGGTTTGTGGGGGGCTGGCACCGACACCCCCAGGGCAGCAGGATCAGGCCCTTGGGTCCCCTCTGTGCTTCCCTCAGTCACTCAGCAGCACTGTTCACCTTGCTCCTAGGACAGCCCCATACCTGCTGTGTCTGCTGCCCCTGTTCTGCACCCAGCTCCCCACCTTCAAAGCTTGATCCCCAGGCCTGGTGGGGTGGGGGGAGTGTATTACCTAAGGTATAACAGCAAGTAATAATAGTAACTAACTTGTGAAGACTTTTTCCTGTGCTCGGGCACTGTGCCAAACCCTACTTTGAGTTAATTCTCACTGCATCCCAATGGCGTAGGTACTAGTATAACGTTCATTTTATGAATGAACCAGTGCAAGTGGGGCCTGGATTTGAATCCAGGTCACCTGATGTCTAAGCCCCCAGGTCTAACCACCTTAGCACAGCCACGGCCAAGGGCACAGGCTTCCCTGGGCCCTGTGCATGGTCTGAAGGGCCTCAGCGTCCGCAACTCTTGCTGTCCCCAGCATCCCAGCCACATTCCACCCTCCTACCACCCTCCTACTGTTCAGGTCTGGGCTTGGAGTCCTCCCCAGGGGTATTTTACTGGACTTGGCCAGGTCCCTGGCAGCACCCCCAACCCTGCCCTGCTTCCCTCCACCCAGCTCTGAGCACACCAGCACCTCACCGAGCCAAAGCAGGTCACTGAGCCATTCTGGGGCTGACACTCAGGGTGGCACGGCAGACAGTACCTGTCCTTCACGTACTCCCGGGGGAGCCTGAGGAGAGGACGGCCAGTGAAGGGGTCTGGAAGGAGCCCCTGTGCACCGCCCCCGCCCGGCCGCCCCCTCCTCTGCCCTGCATA